TCTTTCCCTTGCATTCAGTACTTTCTCCTGTCTTCCTCCACCCCACCCTGGTTCATTTTCTGATATGCTCTCATTGAAGGTGCTGCTTAAATGATTTTGAAAGGTACTGCTGTGGCCAGCTGTAAAGTTTTCCAAATTATATATTTGTGAGCATAGGGGAAGGAAGATCCTGTGCCCACCTTAATTTTACACCTTGGGGAACTTACCATAAGGGTATAGGAAATATATAAGTCCCAAAGACTTCCTGAGATCGAAGAACAAAATCCTATTGCAGCTCATTGTAGCCAGAGCTGAGGGCAAGAGAGAGATTCCTTGGGAAAATGAATCCCCAACACAAATGTGTTTTGAATTCAAAGGGATGGTTGATAAAAATGAAAGAAAAATGAAACTCACAGAAGTAAGAGTTTGTCCTAGCATGTCTGCAAGCCTACATGGTAGAAGCAGGATACTCTATCACAAAAAGAAAATCTATTTTATGAAGATTTTGGGTCCTTTAGGGACTGATGCATCTATGATTGTGTTGCTATTTTTTGGTGAGGTATACTCTAAAGTGAGGAAGAAAAGAACATGGTACACTTCTGAGAAGGCTTACTGATTGGTATGAGCCCCATTTGGTTAACCCTGCTTCAGATGTCCAGGCCAGATGGGAAAAAATCTTTTCAGGCCAAGTGCTAGGAAAATCATCTTATTAGCCAGTCTATCATCACATGTTACTAATAACATGTCTAAATTTCTCCAGTGTGGATTCTGCAATAGGCACTTGCCAAGAGGTTATCAATTTGATAGGATATATGCAATCACTTCTTATATACAGTTCATGGAAAGTAATGAAATTCTTAAAGAAAGCTTCAATGACCAAGAAAAAGTTTTGCACAGTAGATGCAATAATCCCCTGTACAAACCTGTAGCACCACATTTCCCTAACACTGCATGTAGAAACTAGAGAGGAGAGAATGGAGGGACTTCAAAAGAAATTGCCTGATCTGTATAGATGCTGGGCTGACAAATGTGCTGACTTGATGTTCAGATCTGGGGGTAACATTTAGAAGCTGCGGGTGTTACCGTGGGTTCTGAAATTCTAACCTTTTTCACATGGTCATGTTGGAAGTCCTGCAGATAGAAAGGTAAAGTGGCTAAGATACGCAGTTGCTTTTTCACCTTAGCCTTTCATTTCTGGCTTAGTAACTCAAAGTCTGTCCTGCACTGTTGATAAAAACCTTTGTTCTTCACCTAGGCTGGTGTTAGAGGTGAGAGTGGAGAATTGACTGAAGTGAGGTACCTAATCTTTTCTGTTATGGCATAATCAAACAAAGCAGGCAGTGCAAGCAGCCTGAGAAACATACAGATTAAAACATATCTAGGGGACTGGGCCCTGGGTAGTTGTTGTAATTAGCAGCATCCCTAACTTATCCCCAGATCTTTCTTTTCACTGTTTTCCTTAAAGCAGAGGACAGAATGACAGGCGTGGCTCTCAGGAAACACTAAGATATTACAATGGCCCCTTGGGAGACACTTTGTGTCAGTCACTCTGACTCCCCAGAAGGCTAGTTCTGCTCTGGCACTGCCCAGATTAAGGAAGAGAAAACCAATTGGTGCAGGCCAGCTGTTCCACCCAAAATATCAGGTGCAGAAAGTCCCGCTCTGCCTTTGATCTTTTTCTCTGTTTGGTAATATTTTCTCCAATGTACCTCAGGGCTATGATTTCTAGACATTCTAAAGAGGAAATCAATGGGCATAGATTTACAATTCTACAATATAAGGTTTTAGAACTGAATTACATTTCTGTGAAATTCATCCTCTGCAGGGAGTAAGCAAAGAACAAGTTTGGCCCATTAGTGTGACCCACAGTTCCAGCTGAAGTCAGAGAGATTTTGGGAAGAGAAAAAATGAAATGTCTGTAACCAATGGGTCTAGTGATATTTCTGTAATAAGAACCAAGGGGGTTAAATGTAGGTCCAAATGGAAAAGAGAGCATATGGAGTCCTGGCAACTGAAATAATCAGTGTAAACCCAGCTGAGCTTCATCAGGGTATAATTTGTCCCTCGATTTTCCCATCATATATGGAGATCGAGAAATGAAAGAACTAAACAAGTTAAAGAAAATGACTCCTTTATCCAAAGGGATAATTGTCTGTGCTGTACCTCCAGCACAGGTGAACAGCACGTGGGAAGGACTGAAGAGCTGCACTCAATACTTTTGTCAATTCCCTTATCTGCTTTTAACAGTGTGAAACTCTGGTTAGATTGCGCAGGTGGTGAAAATTATGGTTTGAGGGATGCAGGGACAAATCCTCACCACGGTGCATGGCAACCCCAGAGCCAGGTACACTTGTGCTGCTTGCTGTGCTTCTGCTTGTGCTGGAGGCTGCTGAGCCTGTGGAGATCCCCTTTGCCAGCTGAGAGCCCAAAGAGTTGCAGGGATATCTGGTGGCAGGCAGCACAGAGCCCTGTGCCTGGGGACTCCTTGGCAGCCTCAAATATAACCCAACTAGCATTTGAGCTGAAGTGTAGAAGAAATGAGCACAAGAAAAGATTCATTCTTGTGCCACTTTCCCATAGCCACACAGGGACAGCAGTAGTGCGTGGGAAGTGCTGTCTTCAGGACTCCCTCTGGGATTTATTCAACTGGAGGTCACCAAGTTTTGGCTCTCCCTTCTCACCTTTGGGAGTATGAGTAGGAACTTGCAGTAACAGAATGTATTAAATCTATGAAAATGGCATAATAAGCTATTCTTGACCAAAAGGGGCACACTAAGTCCCCCTGCGTCTCTAAAGATGTTTTACAAGGGGCAGAATCACACTGGGCTTGTGAGAAGAAAGCTGCTTATAAGTGATCTGAAGCCAAGTGTTGCAGTGCAGGATGCTGCCTGTGGGTTCTTGCAGAAAGGAGACTGGGCAGTCACTATTTATCTTAGTGTGCCCAGTCAAAAGTTTTTGAGTTGTAGAATGAGAGCTTAAAGAAAATTTGTCATTTAGGGTCAAGTCTGATCCATAACGGAATGAAAGGACAAAGTGTTCCTGAGAGGGAGCAGTCCCCTGCAACAATATCCAATGCATTATCCTTGCCAGTCTTTGTTTGAAAAGGATAATGTTATAAGCCTACCTGAAAGCAGAGGTTACAGGCCAGGAACAATAGGATTGTAAGCCTTCCAAGTATGAATCACATCACTGGCAATTTTTCCCTGAAGGGAGAAAAGTAAGAAGGTAGATAGGAAAGACAATAATGACTACTTCTTGAAGTGCAATTAACCAATAAACATTTACATTTCTTCTACTGGAAGCAAAGCTAATGTTTCTTTCCCCTTTTCTGAAGTGACCTGTCCTAAGTTTAAGGCTGACTTAAAAGAATCTGTTCCAGGGTGCCAGCACTGGGGTGCCTCTGTCTGCAAGTCAGTCCTGCTGGCCCTGCCTGGCACCTCTCCTCCCTCCTGATGATGTGCTGGCTGCTCTGCATAGCTATCACTCAGGCCACTCACGCTCCTTGCATATTCAGCACCTGCTTTGGCCGAGTCTCACAACTCAGATTCACTGTCATTACTCTGGGGTTTGGGAATGACTGCACCATAAATTCAGGGGAAACTCTTTAGTGGCTGCTAGAAAATTCTGAGCCTAGTCTCAGCTTGCCTTTTCTGGCCTCTAATGTATGCATCCCAGTCCTGGAGTTAATACCTTCTGTCTGGCACAGTGTTATTGGGCCTGCTCTTCAGTATGCTCTAGGAGTTACTCACCTTTCTCTATCTAATGAATACAATTTCCTTTTTCACAAAAATGCTTCACAAATAAGATAGAACAGTACAGACAGAACAAACATTTTGCAAGGTGTCCCATGGATATTTTTTGCTTATTCCCTCTTTGCTCCACCAGTTGCCAACATAGTGCTCCTTCTTGTTTTAGATCCAAGCCCTTCTTGAATTTTGAGAGGATCTATAAAGGTTTTGCATTCATTTCAGGCCTTATCCAGGATTACAAATATATCTTGGAATTTTTTACAGCAGCAATAATGCTGGTGTTCACCTGCAAACTGAGTGAAGTTTTCTGAAGTAACTATTGTCTTCTTAGAAATAAATATACCAGGAAGAATCATGTCTCTCCATCCTGTGAAACCGTGTGGGAGAGGAAACAATCCTAGCCATGGGTTTTGTTTATCTGTTTGGTTTTTTTTTGTGATCTTGTAGTCCTTGAAAACATTTCTAAAAGAGCTGGAAATTTACTTTTCTTAATGGCAGATTAATCCATCTTTAAATTGGGCATTGGAGATAGGAAATATTCAAGAGATTTAGTATTACGAATGGTTATCTCTGACCATAATAATTTAGGATGTAGTCATTTACATTAATTACTGTGAGGATTTAAACGATCTGTTACTCAGCAGTAAAAGGCTGGGAAGTGTTCCCATGTTGTAATAAATACAGGGCTCACTCCACTAAGAACATGGCAGAAGGTACATCACTGTTTTAACTGGTGAATTTGCAAACACCTACACGCAGAATGTAAAGGTCTATAACCAGGACAAGCCTGCTTAAATCCACACCTCCTATTTCTCAGAGAAGAAAATACTTGGCAGTTTTATAACACTTGGAGCTGGTGGGTGGCTGATTCTGAGAAAGGCTAAAGACTTTCCTTTCCTTGGTATGGAAACTGATGTTAAATACATTATTTTCTGCGTGTTGTTGAATTATGCAAATTAAACAAGCAAGCAAATAAACCAAACAAAAACAAAAACCAAACCAAAAAACAACAAACAAACAAAAAACCCCAGAAACCCCAGAAACCAAACGAACACAAGCAAAAAACCCACACAAAAACCCCACAAAACACCAAAATGCTGTATAGTAAGAGCACCCTCAACTGCTGTGTTTGTGTTATGAAGTTCATGTGTTGCGACAACCTAAGGGCCTGTTCATCTTTTAAGGAGGCTAGAATTTTAAGTTGATTTTCTTGCAGGAATATCCTTCAGAGTGACTTCATTAACTCTGACATTAATTTTTGCTGTATTTCAGAGCAGATAACAATAGCCTTCACAGTGTCCATGGTGATTGGACTGGTGATTGGAGGGATCATCTGGGCATTTTTCACCTGCTTGTCCCGTCGCAGAGCTAGTGCCTACATTTCCCAGGGGAGCCCCTCGTCCTTCAGCCGTCGGTCCAGACCTCCCTCCCATGGCCACGCTGCCAGCAGGACTGGATTTTACCGCAACAGCAGCTGCGAACGTCGGAGCAACCTCAGCCTGGCCAGCCTCACCTTCCAGCGGCAAGCCTCCTTGGAGCAGGCCAACTCTTTCCCCAGGAAGTCGAGCTTCCGTGCATCCACCTTCCACCCTTTTCTGCAGTGTCCTCCCCTGCCCGTGGAGACGAACAGTCAGCTGATCACCCTCACTCCCACAAATACCACCACAACCCTTGTGGGAAGCACCACCAACAGCCTGAGTCGACCTGAATTCCACTGGTCTAACAACAACCTCCGCATCTGCCACTCCACGCAAACCCCGCCTCCTGCCTATGAATCCATCATAAAAGCCTTCCCAGAATCCTGAGTTCGTCCTCGCTGCAAACACACATATTCATCTTAGGAGGAACCTCAATTACCTCCACGATTTTCTGTGCATGATGAAGATCTCTGAGACGTCTCCAGCTGCAGTTGCAGAGGGGACATACTTTGCCAAGAGGCGTGTAGCAGTGACTTCATGGAGCCCAGCATCCCACTGTCTGAGAGATCACTTGTCTTTGCAGTGCTGGCTTTTATTTACTGCTCTGCTGTATGCTTGCGTATTTATAGTGTTGTATCTTTAATTGCAGCCTTTGTCTCTTTATTTTAGAGGGAAAAATGCTGCCACATAAAAGCTAAATAATTTCTTGAAGAAACAGATAATACTAGAGATTACTGATATACACAGCACATCAATGCAAATTTCACTATTCCTTTTCTTTTTTTTAAGAGGTTTTGATTTTACATGTTTTTGTTACATTCTCAGAGAGCACCTCCCATTACCCACCTTCTTGCTGTAACCCCAAAAGAACTTCAGTCTGAGGAACCTTAAATGCAGACCTCATAGAGGAAGCACTCCTGGCTGCAACAGACATCCTGTTCTGTTGATTGCAAAGATCTGATCTGAAAAGACTCCATATTAGGGATGCTTGTTTAAAATTCCCCAGTGTGGGAAAAAACTGTGAAGTATATGAAGCTTCATGCAGAAAGAAGTTTTGAACAACATACCAAATGCATGATGACAGAATTTTCTGTCTGCAGCCAGCAGAACAGGTAGTCACATTTTAATACTCAGTGAAGCTGTATGGGCAGAACTCCTCATATTTCATTTTTCTAATTCTGGTTATCCAGATAAGCAGTATGAATGACAACTATTTTTTGTAATTAAGTTTCCTGATTTCCTATGGGATTAGTCATTTCCTTATTTCAAATTGTTTTTCTCAAATTGTACCAACGTTTAATTCTTTCTTTTATTCACTGAAATCTTGTCTTTCACTAAAACAAGATTTCAGACATCTGTGGCTGAACACAGGGATTCTATAATGAATTGGGATATGAAGATAAAGATGAAGTATTAGTTGAGGCTTACATATATTCTTGACTTTTATATGTGTATCATGACAAACTAACCCCTGGCTTAGTAGAGACTAATTGCACTGATGTGACAAAATATTCAGGATTTGGAAATAACAGAGTCAAATGGGACCCGAATTAAGTCTTATAGTATCTGTTTCCTGTTAAATATTTCATGTTCAAATTAAGGGTGAAGAATTTCCACAACTAGAGGAGCTGTCCACACTCCACATTTGCAAATATGCCTGTTGTTTCTAAAAGGCTTGGGCAATACCAGCCTCAGGACTCCTGATTCTGATGGGGCTTCTGTAGGGACAATAAATTCTTATCTCTCTTCTGGGAGGGACAAAGATTCAGCAGCTTCTGGGAATGGGCAAAATGCTCAACATCTCCCAGGTTTTCCAGGCTTTTGGAGACTGGCAGCTTGCATCCCTTTGCTGAGGTCAACATCTCCTGGGGAGCACTGACATTGATCTTTGATCCTCAGTATTCCAGCCCAATGTCCACCCATTCGCAAATAATGCTACAAACATTAAGCTTATAAGCAATACTTACTGTAAACAAGAAGTATTCCTTATTGTAAAGGCAAATTATTTTGCATATATTTACTGGCTGGATTTCATTGTTTCATTTTTAGTGTGCAACACATCTCTAGAGATGTGTGTCATTGCTAGAAGAAGAACCATTTACAGAGTTTACAGAGCATTTCACTGCAGACACTATGGGTTCTAGCACACCCAGAACTGGCTGGAACACTGCATTTGGCTGACCACAGGCTACAGACTTAAAACAATGGTCCTCTGAAGAAGGAAGGAAAGTTGTGCCTTTTCATTCATTAATATTTTTATTTCTTTTTTTCATTTAGAGTTTTTCTGAGTCTGATGAATTTCTTTGCATGCAAAAGTATGTTCAAAGTGTCCTTCCTATAGGATAGGTGATGCAGCCTATTCTAACATGCCTACAAAATGTAGAATTCAAGCCTGCTCCCTTTGTTTAGTGGGTTTGATGAACTGTGGAAGAGACAACTTAACCTAACAGCTGCATACCCAGTGTGCACCCAGCTGGCCAAAACTGTTTGTTCTTTGAGAGTGAAATAATTTTAGATGAGTAAATTTTTACCTCTGGATTTTAAGTGTACATTATATTACAGTAGAACTTTCCACAGCGCAATTATTACACAATTGTAACTTGTATTACACTGTATTTAGTAAATAAGATAAAGAGGGAAGCTTAAATGTACTGTATTATTTTTCCTCCTGAAATCCGCACTGGACATCAAAACATTTCTTATGTGCCCTGGATTAGGGAGACTAAAACCACATGTTTGGTGCATAGCCAATATGACTGTCAGATGCCTAAAACTTGTTTTCACATCTGAAATGTTTTGCAAGCATTCAGGAAGCTTCAGAATGTGGAATAAAGTTAGATGCTATAATCTCAAGCTCATGTTTTTTCTTAATGATGAATACGTGACTTGCATAAAAGATCTTTTAAAGAGAAGAGTATTATCCTTAATTATGAAACCTGACACAGTTAGAAATGTGAATGAGGACACTCTCCTACCTTTGCTTCTGTGGGGAAACACCCCAAAACTGAAGATGTTACTTGAAGTCAGAATTTGACCTATGAGAACAGCTTCAAATGATTACAAGTGAGAAGGTCTTTCACAAGTATCAGTGCTTACAGGTATCAGATCCACTGGTTTATAACTATTTCGCCTTCAATTCACATTGTGTTTGAGCAAATGCTTGCTTTAAGCAAAAGGGCAATCACTATAAGGTTCATGCTTAAATGGACTCATGCACATTTTATTTCATTAGGACCAAAGCACACTGCACAGGACCAACACTGAAATTAACACCATGATTCAGGAATCACAGTGTGCTCGATATGAAAAAAAAGATTATATTTGCTTAATGAAATTATCTTTTATTTCAATTTAAAATACTAGAAATAAGACCTGAATTAAAACAGTGTGTTACTGCAGATTTCAAGATTTCAGAGCATTCACAAGCATGCATTGAACTTGACAATTATTTTGCATGTAATACAATTAAAATGATGCTCCCAGAATAACATAGGGACAGATAGGCAGAACCAACATCCAGATATCCTGACACCTTGTTCTGCACAAGCACAACTATCCTCTTCATGAAGAGAAATGCTATCCTGTTATTGTGTACATCCACAGAAAGAGTCACTCCAGTTATGGGTTCATGTAGAAACTTGACAGCTCTTTGTCAGAGAATATTTTTGTTCCATCTTATCTACAAAAGTAGCTCATGCCATATTCCTTGACCTTTCCCCACTGAACAGCTGCTGATCACCTCTTTAGACAGCTACTGATTACCATACCGTAACACACTGATCATGCAGTATTTTTGTCAAATCACATTTTTCAAGTTCACTTTTAATTTATCATGAAGCTTTTGAATCATCTCAACATCCATTCTTAAATATATAAACTGAAAACTATGCTCACTGGAAATATCCTCTCAGAGGTGAAATGACACATGCCAGATCCCTGACCTATAAGCATTTGATAAAATTAGGTGATGTCTATGATGCAGTACAGCTTCTGGAAAAAGCAAAAAAAAAGATAATACTAATTGGAAATTTACCTTTGCCAAGTCCAGAACAGACTAAAGAAAAGAGTGGTGAGATTACTTCAAAATACTTAGAAGAGTATTTTAGAAGCTAAACTTACAAAGTATTAAAACTCAAGGAAAATACCTGTATCTTAATTTGGGTCTCTTAATAAAAGTGAGTTTTTAAAGGGTTGAGTATTTTGAGTTCCCGTATGACTTTGTTTAGCTATTACCTTTCTGAATACCAAAAAGCATGATAAGATCCTAATCTCTTTTTCAATCTAATATCAATATTGGTTACAATTGATTCAATAATTTTCAACCAGCTGGAGTAGAGAGTTCTGAGAAAACTACTGCAGCACCCAATAGGTGAGCTACTGCTGGCAGCAGCTGTTTTTGAAGCACACAAAACAACAAACTGCCTGGCACCATAGCAGCAGCAGCAGTGACTCCACTCAGGATCTCTGGCCTCACTGTGCCAGGCAAGGTCTGTGCATTATTCCGCACTTTTGCCTTCAGACAGTTTGCAGGTTAGGGAAACAACTCAGGAGGAGTCTGGTTTGTGGGTCTTGTTTCTGCTTTTGACTTCTGTGGAAGCTTTTGGCTCCCATCAGGTTTCTGACGACACCCGTGCATGACTGTGGCAACGCCTGATGGGCATGGACTGGATTGAGGAGCTATTTCAGTGAACATGTTTCCTGTCTGCATTCCCAGAGACGTTCTGCATCAGAGACATGTTTTCATCTATTTAGCAGCAGAATCAAGTGATTGTGTGCTGAGGGCTGTGAAGGAGCAGTTGCCCTATTTTAGAGCAAGGAGTTCTTTTAAAGAAGAGTAGCTTAATCATGAAGGGGATTACGCATAGTGAGGGGACTGAGATAGCAGGAAATTGGATTTGCTGATTTAGGACATAACTGTCTGATGTGCCTATGACTAGGAACAGTATGGAAAGGCAAATTAAAGGCAAACAGTATGGAATGCAAAATTATTCCTGTCTAGTTCATGTCAGACCTGCACCCATATCAATCCACTTTAGTTTATAGCAGCATGTTGATGTGTACAAAGGAAGGATGATTCTGCTCTCTTGTTCCAACTTAAGAAGAGCACAAATCACAGCTGGCAGTGATATGCATTTCTTTGACATGTATGGAGAAGTTGCTGATGATTAATTGCACATTGAAATGGGATGAATCCCCTAGATTCATCCTGATCAGTCTGAGGCTTGAGCATATGGAGAGACAAGCAAGAGTCCCAATTTTTGTCCATGCTCTGTTCCTGTACTGGATATCCTGGTGATCTTTTAAAGTTTATTGGGGTGTTTTTATAAGAGGGAGGAATACCCTTTAAACCTTTTCTAGACAGATTGTAGATTTTCTTTTCTCCTTTAGTGCTTCTCCATTTAGTTCCACAGTAAGCTCTATCTGTGGATAGTATGATGATAAAAATACACAAATCTTCACTCTATCCCATTCTTTTGTTGTTCTGCCAGAACTTTTCTTATACAGAAAATCACTTTGAGGAATTGATTGGTTTGTGTGTGATAAGCTCTCTAGCACTAGTTTGCCAGCATCAAAGCACTGATCCATTTTTTCTTTTTTTTTTCCCTAATCCTTTGGGCAAATGTCAGGGAAAGATACAGACACCTTTTTGTCAGTACTAAATGGGAGACAACATTTAGCAAAATTTTGAATTGCCTTGCAAAATTCTCATACCTCCACAATGCACTAATTCATGATGAAGATATTTTTAGATCATTTTTGGTAACATAAAACTTACTTCTATAAAAATTCCTGCACGCACAAGAACACATTTTTTGGGTACTTGTATATACACTAAATTAAATCTTTCAAAGCTTCTAAATGCTTCTAGGCATTGAATCACTTCTGACAAGGAATCTGAACATTAAATATGTTTCCACATCATGTAATCATGTTTGAAATGTATTAGCCTAAAAAAAAAAAATTAACTGTCTTTGAGACACCAAAGTTAAGCATTTTCAAATTTTTATCTCTTTCACCAATACATGGAACCTGGTCGTGGGCAGAGATATTCCCAATAAAGCCAAAAATACATAGGAGAGAAATAAGAACACTGAAAACTCAGTATAGATTGACAGGATTCAACTAATCCAAATGCTTTGGGGAGTGGCAGATTTGCCATGACTTCGTAAAATAAGGGAAGTGTGTGTGTTCTTGACAGTGTTCCTGAAAGATGCATGAAATGGTCCTTCCTGATCATTCCCTGATCCATAACAAAGCATCTGCATCTGCACGCCTTCTCACTGAGGTTTTAAAGGCACTGAAGGCTAGATGCCATCACAGACCTTTGAGCGCATTTTCTCAGTTCACAGGGGTATAAATAGATGCTCCTGTTTCATTCAAAGCACCTGTAAGGCATTAAATGGCTAGGTGATTTAAAAGCTTCTTCCAGTGCTGGGCATTACAAAGATTTAAAAATAAACCAAGAATGTTTCAGACAGTCTTGTGCTTGTACTCAAAACCCGAGTCACTAGCAATAAAAAAGTCTAGAGGGTAACTGTTTATTTAACAGTACAAGAAAACAGTTGTGCTGGTTTTGGCCTGGGTTGGTTAATTGTCTTCACAGTACAAGTATGGGAGAACAGGGATATTTTTTGGATTTCTGCAAGCAAGGCTTACACAGAGCCAAGGTCTTTTCTGCTTTTCCTACTGCCACATGGCAAGAGAATTTGGGGGTGCACGGGAGGTTGGGAGGAGACACAGCAGGGACAGGTGATCCCAACTGACCAAAGGGGTATTACACCATGCTCAGAATGTATAAAGCCAGGGGAAGAAGGAGGAAAAAAGGATGTTTGGAATGATGATCTGTCTTCCCAAGTAACTCTTATCTGTGATGGGGCCCTGCTTTCCTGGACACCTGCCTGCCCATATGAAGCAGTGGGTTAATTCCCTGCTTTGCTTTGCTTGTGTTTGCAGTTTCTGTTTTCCCTATTAAACTGTTTTGTACCTCAGCTCATGAGTTTTCTACCTTTTACCCTTCAGATTTTCTCCCTGATCCTGCTGCTGCAGAAGTGTCTGAGAGGCTGAGTGGGCCTTGGTTGCTAGCTGAGTTAAACCACAAGAGTGAATCAAAAGAAAATAAGAAATATACTGTATTATATATTGCTGTACTTAAGAGGTAGGTTTGAAACTGGGATATACTACACACACAACTGAGGGCCTTGCTGCACAAGCCCAATCCAGAAAAAACTTGCTCACAATCTACCCTAAACCTTCCAAATGCTCTGGCTGACTGCTGGTAGTTTAATCTATATTACTCTATTATTGGCTGCAGTGAGATTACTCATATATTTAATAACTCAGTTGAATCAGAATATAATTTCATAAAGCACATCATTCTGCTTTAAGAAGTAGTTTTATGCTAATTTAGGAGTAGAATTTTTATCTGTCAAATGATTTCTGTTTCTTGAAAGTTTCTTCCCTGTGAAAGCACAGCTACTCTGCTCATCTTGCCTGACCGGTCTCTCCCTGAGCATGTAAAAATTCTGTAGGGGTATAAGGGTGATCCTTACATGCAGACACATGAGAGGCTGAGAATGAAGGACATGGTGAATCAACACTTGGCCATTCTTTTCTATTATTTGATGTGAGAGCAGGGGCAGGAAACTGAATTACAGCTTTGTTTGAGTCTTGGTAGTTTTTTGTTCGACAGAGGTTTTTGCATTATCTCATCTCTCTGGATGATGCGCCTATGGAATTGGATAAATCAAGAAAGACTAAAGAGAAGTTTTTCTAGTCTCAGTCTGGTAAAGATCACTTCTGGAGGGGCATTTTAGAGATGGGTTTGGAAAGCAAAGAAGAGCATAAAACAGCCA